GGTTTCTTTGGGGAACCCACCAGCCCACCTAATAAAAAAAGGACCCCAAAAAAAGAAGAAAAGAGGCAGGTCAGGCAGACAGCTTGTGCTTGGAGACAGCGAGGCAGTGTGTTTTGGGATGGTTTCTTTGGGGAACCCACCAGCCCACCTAATAAAAAAAGGACCCCATTAAAAAAAAAGAAAAGAGGCAGGTCAGGCAGACAGCTTGTGCTTGGAGACAGCGAGGCAGTGTGTTTTGGGATGGTTTCTTTTGGGGAACCCACCAGCCCACCTAATAAAAAAAGGACCCCAGAAAAGAGGCAGGTCAGGCAGACAGCTTGTGCTTGGAGACAGCGAGGCAGTGTGTTTTGGGATGGTTTCTTTTGGGGAACCCACCAGCCCACCTAATAAAAAAAGGACCCCATTAAAAAAAAGAAGAAAAGAGGCAGGTCAGGCAGACAGCTTGTGCTTGGAGACAGCGAGGCAGTGTGTTTTGGGATGGTTTCTTTTGGGGAACCCACCAGCCCACCTAATAAAAAAAGGACCCCATTAAAAAAAAAAGAAAAGAGGCAGGTCAGGCAGACAGCTTGTGCTTGGAGACAGCGAGGCAGTGTGTTTTGGGATGGTTTCTTTTGGGGAACCCACCAGCAACCTAATAAAAAAAGGACCCCATAAAAAAAAAAAAAATGAAAGAGGCAGGTCAGGCAGAAGCTTTGCTTGGAGTCAGCGAGTGGCAGGTGTTTTGGGATGGTTTCAAACCCACCAGCCACCTATAAAAAAAGGACCCCATAAAAAAAAAAGAAGAAAAGAGGCAGGTCAGGCAGACAGCTTGTGCTTGGAGACAGCGAGGCAGTGTGTTTTGGGATGGTTTCTTTTGGGGAACCCACCAGCCCACCTAATAAAAAAGGACCCCATTAAAAAAAAAAAGAAAAGAGGCAGGTCAGGCAGACAGCTTGTGCTTGGAGACAGCGAGGCAGTGTGTTTTGGGATGGTTTCTTTTGGGGAACCCACCAGCCCACCTAATAAAAAAAGGACCCCATTAAAAAAAAAGAAAAAAGAGCAGTCAGCAACCAATAAAACAGCGAGCAGTTTGTTTTGGGTTGGTTTCTTTTGGGGTCCCACCAGCCCACCTAATAAAAAAAGGACCCCAGTAAAAAAAAAAGAAAAGAGAGGCAGGTCAGGCAAACCTTGTGCTTGGAGACAGCGAGGCAGTGTGTTTTGGGATGGTTTCTTTTGGGGAACCCACCAGCCCACCAATAAAAAAAGGACCCCATAAAAAAAAAAGAAAAGAAAGAGGCAGGTCAGGCAGACAGCTTGTGCTTGGAGACAGCGAGGCAGTGTGTTTTGGGATGGTTTCTTTTGGGGAACCCACCAGCCCACCTAATAAAAAAAGGACCCCATAAAAAAAAAAGAAGAAAAGAGGCAGGTCAGGCAGACAGCTTGTGCTTGGAGACAGCGAGGCAGTGTGTTTTGGGATGGTTTCTTTTGGGGAACCCACCAGACCCTAATTAAAAAAAGGACCCCATTTAAAAAAGAGGCAGGTCAGGCAGACAGCTTGTGCTTGGAGACAGCGAGGCAGTGTGTTTTGGGATGGTTTCTTTTGGGAACCCACCAGACCCTAATTAAAAAAAAGGACCCCATTTAAAAAAGGCAGGTCACCAGCTTGGAGAGCGAGGCTGGATAATAAAAAAAGGACCCCATTAAAAAAAAGAAGAAAAGAGGCAGGTCAGGCAGACAGCTTGTGCTTGGAGACAGCGAGGCAGTGTGTTTTGGGATGGTTTCTTTTGGGGAACCCACCACACCCTAATTAAAAAAAGGACCCCATTAAAAAAAAGGCAGGTCAGGCAGACAGCTTGTGCTTGGAGACAGCGAGGCAGTGTGTTTTGGGATGGTTCCTTTTGGGGAACCCACCAGACCCCAATTAAAAAAAAGGACCCCATTAAAAAAATGAGGCAGGTCAGGCAGACAGCTTGTGCTTGGAGACAGCGAGGCAGTGTGTTTTGGGATGGTTTCTTTTGGGGAACCCACCAGACCCTAATTAAAAAAAAGGACCCCATTAAAAAAAACAAGAACAGAGGCAGGTCAGGCAGACAGCTTGTGCTTGGAGACAGCGAGGCAGTGTGTTTTGGGATGGTTTCTTTTGGGGAACCCACCAGCCCACCTAATAAAAAAAGGACCCCATTAAAAAAAAGAAGAAAAGAGGCAGGTCAGGCAGACAGCTTGTGCTTGGAGACAGCGAGGCAGTGTGTTTTGGGATGGTTTCTTTTGGGGAACCCACCAGACCCTAATTAAAAAAAGGACCCCATTTAAAAAAGAGGCAGGTCAGGCAGACAGCTTGTGCTTGGAGACAGCGAGGCAGTGTGTTTTGGGATGGTTTCTTTTGGGGAACCCACCAGACCCTAATTAAAAAAAAGGACCCCATTTTATTAAGTGTGTTTTGGGATGGTTTCTTTTGGGGAACCCACCAGCCCACCTAATAAAAAAAGGACCCCATTAAAAAAAAGAAGAAAAGAGGCAGGTCAGGCAGACAGCTTGTGCTTGGAGACAGCGAGGCAGTGTGTTTTGGGATGGTTTCTTTTGGGGAACCCACCACACCCTAATTAAAAAAAGGACCCCATTAAAAAAAAAGGCAGGTCAGGCAGACACCTTGTGCTTGGAGACAGCGAGGCAGTGTGTTTTGGGATGGTTCCTTTTGGGGAACCCACCAGACCCCAATTAAAAAAAAGGACCCCATTAAAAAAAAAACAAGAACAGAGGCAGGTCAGGCAGACAGCTTGTGCTTGGAGACAGCGAGGCAGTGTGTTTTGGGATGGTTTCTTTTGGGGAACCCACCAGACCCTAATTAAAAAAAAGACCCCATTAAAAAAAAGAGGCAGGTCAGGCAGACAGCTTGTGCTTGGAGACAGCGAGGCAGTGTGTTTTGGGATGGTTTCTTTTGGGGAACCCACCACACCCTAATTTAAAAAAAGGACCCCATTTAAAAAAGGGGCAGGTCAGGCAGACAGCTTGTGCTTGGAGACAGCGAGGCAGTGTGTTTTGGGATGGTTTCTTTTGGGGAACCCACCAGACCCTAATTTAAAAAAAAGGACCCCAGTTAAAAAAAAAGGCAGGTCAGGCAGACAGCTTGTGCTTGGAGACAGCGAGGCAGTGTGTTTTGGGGTGGTTTCTTTTGGGGAACAACTTTTGGGGAACCCACCAGACCCTAATTAAAAAAAAGGACCCCATTAAAAAAAAAAAGCAGGTCAGGCAGACAGCTTGTTATTTGTCACTCGGTTTGGCGTTATGGCCCTGGTCCAGCCAGACAGCAGGCCAGTCAGGTTCCCCTCAGCCAGCCAGTCAGTGCAGACAGCATGGCAGACCAGATGCCAGTCGAGTGGGAGGTAGCGGCGCAGGCAGAGCAGCCAGGGCAGGCGGAGGTAGTCAGGCAGCTCGAGCTTCTCGTGGAGGAAGTGAGAGAAGCCAGGCAAGAACAACAATCTTTCAGTTTACTTTTTGTTAGTCAGTCACTCTGCCAGTCAGTCAGCCAAGCAGTAAGGACCTCAACGTGGAGATCCACTTGATCGGCAAGAAGCTGACATGCCACGAGAGCCGCTGCGAGCCTCGGCAGGCAGCAGACAGCTTTGCCAAGGCATGTCAGACAGGTCTTTTGGGCCAGGCGGACAATCAGACAAGTCAGGTCAGACAGGTCAGGTCACACAGGTCGGCCTTGAGGTTTGAGTAATTAGCAAGCGAGTCAGCCAATGACCAGTACATGTGCATGCAGGCAGACATCCAGCGTCACCGTGAACAGGCAGGCGAAGACAGAGAGCACCACAAGCGCTGGCTGAGGGGCGAGCTTTTCAGCCGGCTGAGGCAGGCAGGGCCGCCGTTTTCGTGGCTGGTCCTCTGCCTGCGAGGCTGAGAGCCAAATAGGCAGACAGCTAGACAGCTTGCCACCATGGCCCGGTAGGGAGATAGGCAGGCAGTTTAGCAGTCGAGGCCAAGTCATCATTTCTGTTTGTTCCTGTTTTTTGGTTTGGGGAGTTGTTTAGTTTGTGGTATTATAACTATAATTGTTTATCATTTTTTGTTCATTGTGGGGAACAGAAATGATGACAGCCAGGCGAGAGGCCAGGCAGGATTGACTAAGAGGGGAACAGAGCCAGGCAGGAAGCCAGGCAGGAAGCTACGGAGCCACGCGAAAAAGAAAGAGGTGAGAGAGTCAGGGAGTCAGGGACAACCAGGGACAACCTTTTGGGGAGAGAGTCAGGGACAACCTTTTGGGGAAGCCACCAAAAGGACCCAACCTTTTGGGGAAGCCAGCTTTTGGGGAAGCAACCTTCTAAGGAATTCATCTTTTGAGGAACCCACCTTCTTAAAAGTGGGGCTGGAAGCTTGCTAAAAGTGCCCCCTAATAAGGATTCCAAGACTTTAGTATTGGTTTAGTATTGGCGCAATGGAAAATCAATTGTGCGGAGTGGAAATCTGGCCTCGGGCCCCGGATTTGCATTTATTATTAATGGGGGTCATTCATTAATTGGGGGAGGAGATTATGGAGCTGACAGCACGTCTGCAGGTCGGCAGTGTCCGGATCTGATACAAAGTCGAAGCCTCAAGCCTCCGGACGCAGGTCTGATCGATAGAAAGGCCAAACAAAAAGCTCAACTTGAGCCATCAAAACCTGGCAACATGGCGACCCAGAACCATGTAAAACAAAAACACAAGGCGGCTGCACCCTTTGTTCTGCCTGGATTCTGCCTGACGGACCTTCGTCTACCCGAACTTTGGTTGAATTTTGCCCCACTAAAATGGGGGTACGGGAGTCACGATTTTAGTCGCTAGGATATGGACAAAAGCAGGTCATAAGGTCCTCTTTTTCCAGTCACTAAACACAGCAACCCAAGGGGGTGCTTTATTTTTGACCCACACCCCAATTGGTGAAAACTCAAAAAGTAAGTGTTGGTCGTGATTCCTAGCTTGATCCAACTTGTTTTTTCTTCAGCCCAAGCACTCGTTCAGGTGACACGTTTGTTTTGCCCAGCCTCCATGCTAGGCGCGAATGAGGCGCCTAGACGAGAGCGCGCCTAACCTACTCTACACTGAAGGCGCGCGAGGCGGAGGCGTCACTTGGTTGACGTTGGAAGGGGAGTAAACATTCTCAAATTGTAGCAGTTAAATGGTTGGAATTCCAACCACTAAACCACAATAAGCAAACATGTAAAATGCTTCCCAACAACAACCATGGTCAGGGAAATTCAAGGGCTAAAGAGATCCGATCAACTGTTCAAAACTTCTGGGCTGTTCAAAATGGAGTGTTGACCAAACCGATTTTCTATTCCTATTGGAAAGCCACAAAGGGGAGTTTTTGCGCAACCCAAGGTAAGGATTAATGATTGACTTTGAACAACCCGGTCAATGGAACAATCGGAGTAACACCAAAGAGAGAAAAGCTGTCAAAAAGGTGAACCACGTCTTTCAGTCCGATTTCGTGGCAGAAAATGGCAACGAAAAGGGAAAAATCAAGCTCGTTTCTCCCGATCCAGAAACGGGTTTCACCTGCCACTGGGACCCCTTTTGAAAACAAAAACATCAGCCGTGAAAGTAGCTGGCACTACTCTCTTCCTGCACGGACTGGCGAAGACAAAAACACTTGGTTGTTTGCCACTAAAAATGTCAACACCCCCCAAACGTATATAAAGTTCATGACCTCGGGGAGTGAGACGAAACTCCTTGATTTGGGTAAGGAATGAAAGGGGATGATCAAACCTGGAACAATTGAGGGGGGGGAATCGAAGTGTGTTCCATCCAGTTGCAACGGTGATGCTTACCTTTTAGGCCTGGCCACTTTTTGTGGGGTAGTTGCCTGGCTGATTGGTTGCCTGCCTGGTTGGTTGCCTGGTTGCTTGGTTGCTGCTGGGTGCTTGGCTTTTTCTTTTGATGAGGTTTGACTTTTCTGGTTGTCATGGAAACCTCCCGTTTGCTTGGCCGCTCCTCGCCATGTGAACCCCTGCTCATTTGCTCGTCCCCCAAATCTCAGCCCTCCATTTGCTTAAGTCCCCCGGACCAAAAATAAACAGTGATAGATTCCAACATTAAAACCAACAGGGGAAAATTTACAAATCTTCTTAAGCAAATGGAAGCAGCCACTTAAAGGCGGTAGGTCTGATGCGCACCTGGGACGATATTTCCCAGATCCCAGCGCAGGGCCCGTGTCTAACTTTTGATTTGCCGGGAAGTGTTGGCCAAAACAGTCGCTCAGGGTGCTAACTAGGGGGGCGGGAAGTCTGGACAAATCAATCCTCTTTGGTGTCCTTTGGGGAATTTTAGAAAAAAAAGGAAAAAACAACAAATGGTTGGTTTCCCTAAAATGGATCGTTTGCTGCTTGTTTCCTCTAAATACCAATACCAACCAGCAGGGCGCCCACATGTCTTAAGAAAAACTCCAAGTAGAAGGCAGTCAAACATATTGGACTCTTGCTCGCTCGCTCTGGCTCAGTCTTCATCACGGCGCGCCGAGGCGTCCTTCACAGGCCGTCTGACTCTAAGCCCATTTGGGTAGAACCTGAATAACCCTAGGTGGTATCCTCAACAGCCCCCCCCCCCCCCCAAAAAAAAAAAAAAAAAAAAAAAAAAAAAAAAAAAAACTCTCTCTGAAAGCTGCCCCAAACTTCTCCAGAGCCTATCTGGGCCTATCGACCCCATAGACTTGAGCCATCCAAACACCTCAGCCCCATCCGACAAAGCCAAGCGTTGGATGGGACAAAGGGCATGGAAACAATCAAAAACACATTGGGAGAAAATGTTATTCTTCGACTTGGCTGCCAGCTTTTTACCCCAACCCCTGTAGGGGGGCCCTGTGAACCCATGAGCGAGATACCTCTAACGGGGGCAACCGACAGATCGATTCCCTTCAAATCGAACACAACACATAACAAGATCTTAAGCTTCGGAGTCAGACTTTGCAATCGTCGAATCGTGTCTCGGGTGCTCACTTGACATGGCGCGCCGGTTTCTTTCGCCTTCCGGTGAAGCCGCCCTTTTTGCCGGGCTGAAGGAGAACTGTGCCCGTGCGCGAAAAACGGGTGTGATAAAAGCGGCAGCAAAGCTCCATAGCCTAAGCAGCATTGGACCTAAGCTTTTCTACCCGGGCATCTAAGGCAGTGAAACCCATCTATTTCTAACCAAACTAACCCAGAAAGGACACCTATGTTTATTGCGGCTTTAGCTGATAAACAGGATATTTGCCAAGTGTCTACATTGGAAGGTTTGAACAAAGGTTTTTTGGGGCGGGGCATTATGATTCACCAAATCCAAAATAAGGGACCTCCAGCCAAGGAACTTCATGTGGTTTTGGCAAATAACCCTTGCTGTGATGGCTACTTTGTGACTTCACAAGAGATTTTGTTGGTATCAACGAAAGTGTACGCAATTCTCACAAGAATAAACCTTCATCACAGGTGAGGTCGCAAACCCAAACATTTTGCGAGGTTGCAAGGGCAATGAGTTAATGGATGCACGTCCTTTTGGATTTCCAGCAGGGAGGCTGGGCGCAAGCATTTGCAGTCCTAAAATTGGAGGACCCCTTTGGATATCTACCCTGCTGTCCACCAACATGGAACCCACCAAAGCATCCCTGAAGGGAAACGGTCTTCCACAGGTTTATCGCGGACGTTCGGGTAATCAATTATTGGGGTAATCAATTCAGAGGACATCTAAACCAAAGCCACGACCATCTTTGCCAGTCTTTCATCTTGTCTCCCATCCAACCCTCCAGATGCTTAAGTCCCGTGGAAAAAAATCCAGTAGTGATAGATTCCCTTTAAAACCAACAGGGGGAAATTAAAAATATATTATTAAGCAAATGGAAGCAACATGATGGATTGGCAATCGATATGTCCGAGCTTTGCCAGCGCCGAGCTGCATTCCCGAGTGCTCACGTGAAGAAACCGGAAAATACGGTTGACGACCTGCAAGAAGATATCATAGTCTTGCCGGTGAAAATACCAAAGGAACATGGATGTTGGTTTTTTGGTGGTACCCCTTTTTTGGTGTGTTTTGAAGGGAAACCACCAGAAGCACAAGGCACTGAACCAAGAACAGCGACGCTTTCCTGTTTAAAACACTTCTAATTACCTGTCCACCCCAGGCTTTGCCACAAACAAACATTCAGACTATTTGAGACTGGTCTATATTTGGTAAACCTATGTAAACCTCGAAAAAACAAACATCTTCAAATTGATCCCAGATTGGCGGGCGGCTTTTCCAATGTGCGCACTCGGGGGTGCGTGGCAGCCGTATGGTCGGGCTCTCAACCCCGGCGCACTCGGGGCCGAAGCTCTACGCCATGCTCGCGACCTGGCATTTGAATGGCTGAAATGGGGGTCTAGGAAACGGCTGGGAGGTGGTTGTGGATCCACCCTTGTAGGATAGCAAAAGAGTACTAAACCAGGTATTAAAAGAGGAACAGCTAGCCAAACAACATGGGGAAACCACAGAAAGCGCATCCAATCCGTTTGCTGGAGGGGGGGGTGATCATTTTTCCTGGCCGCCAACGACCATGCGTAACTTCTCCCATTTCGTGGGAATGACATGTTTTTTGTGGCTTCCCCGAATGGTCATCCCATGTATCGGACCTTTTTAAGGGGATTTGCGCTCATTCCAACATGGAAGTCATCGAGGGGACTCGGAATGGAAAAGGAGTCTAAAGCCCACCCATCAGCTTCCATGATGGGAGGGAGGGTATTGGACATCGTAGCACTGATGTCAGCGGGTCAAGTATCTCGTACACCAAAATCAAAGCATCACATGAATAAATATAGAGCAGCTAAACAACTATGCACACATTTCTAGCGCATGGATCATGCGGTAAGTCGGCTTGAGAGAGAGAGAAGCCTCGCAACCTAGCAGTTACCTTCAGTGACTATGGGGGGCCCTTGGCTCTGAATCTGCGGACATGGGCCACCGATTTGGGAGCCTGTCCAGCTTGGACCTCATCCCCTAGGTCCTCCAGTATTTTGAGGTTAGAGGTTAGGGTACCCACTTTTTCTGTAGTCTATTTTAGGGGAACCCTCCCCCAGAAAAGGGTAACAGGGCATTACAGGACCTAGTAGCTGTGTTTTGTTATACACGATTCTTACGTTCGGCATTGTTCTCTAGCCAACAAATCGGGACTCTGGACGCGCGTGGATTTTGCGAGCTCCCCCAGAAAAGCGTGCCTTCCCTGGGGAAAGTTGAGGAGGCACTGACCCTGGGGTTTTCCCACGTGCCCCAAAATGAGCCGCTCAGTAGAATTGGGCACCCTTCTTTCTCAGACCCCATCGTGCCTTCTCAATCTTCCCGCATCTTTGAGAAGACATATGGCTGGGGCTCAAAAAACGGTACCCAAAAATGGCTTGCCCTGGCAAAAGGAACCAAGGACTAGCTGCGGTCCATATCCTGGTGATTTTTGTTTTTTTGACCCATACCCAAACCAACCCAAAAACAACCTTGGGGATGGGGATCCAGACCCTCGACCGAAGCAAAAGCGTTAGCGGAGAGGCAAGAACAACTTTTGGGGGGCATGCTACCCTAGGTCCTCAGTAGAAGGGTACCGTTTCTTATTTCAGGACGTCTATTTTAGTAGGGGAACCCTCCCAACCAAAAAAGAAACTGTGAGAAAGGGCACCAATTGCTGGGGGACCTAGTACCAGTGCCGGTGCTGGCGGGCAGCCCGTAAAGCTTTCTATCCGCTGTTCGTCTTGAGAGATTCAAACATGCCCGGATCGCCAGTTGTTTTTTATTGTTTTGCCTCCATGCACTTTACCCCACAAACCAGCAACAGTGACTGAAAAAAGCAGCAACTTGGCTATCTAGGTGGCTGTAGCAGCTAGGTATATGCTGGGAATATGCCCATGCCAGAACATGCCACTTCCCGGGTAATGAATGCTGTCGCCAGAACCACCTGAACTGTAACTCTCAATCTTAAGCCCAGAAGGGAAGTTTGTTTGACCATGGCGCTCCAGCCAACTTGCTAATACGTCTGGTTGTTTAAACCAACTGTCAACTGTGTTCGGCCCAATTCTTCTGTGGACCCTTTGTTTGAGTATGCAAACCCCTGGAGTATGTATCTCGTGCCAGCGACTTCCCGAAACGACAACATGAGACACGCCCAAAGGCTTTGAGTTCCGTCCACTTTTGGGGCTTCCCCCCGCCCTGACGCAAGCTCTGTATGAACCCTCAGGTCCGATCTTCGACCCGGGACCCGCAAACAAGTCCTAAGTAGGATGGGACACGTCCACGCAGCGAGTCACAGAAACGATGCCATGTTCCACAGGCACATTGCTATATGCATGGCAAGTCTTGCTGAAGGTACCCTATTGCCTTCAGGTTGATTTATTGCTCATCCCCTTGACCCATTCCTCTTGCTCAGAAAACACCCATTTGGCGTTGGCCAATCTTCCGAATGGAAACGAAGGGTACAAATCTAAGGGCGTGGATCCACTTCGAGCGGTGCCTTGCCAGTGATCTTCTCATAGATCTCCCTCACCTGGTCGGGAGAACACGCAGCCACCTTAGGGTCGGAATCCTGGAAGGTCAGTAGACATGGCAAAACAAGGCGCCTGTGTTTGTCGTTGACTTAATTTAAAGGGAAGCTACACAAACAACAAAAGAGGCACCGGGCTAGACAACCTACAACGTTTCCGGTCAAAAGGGAACATGACAGACACCTAAGGGCAAAAAAGAACAGATGTCTCCGAAGTCCGGCAAAGTTCCCCCCAAAACCGCGCCACCTTGGGCTCCTGCCGAACCAAAGGGTTGCCTGAAAGGAGAGATCCCAACGCCAATTGACATTCAGTTCCACCATGGCTTTAGCGGCTTCGGCTATAACCATTCCATGAAACCAGCTCGGGAAGCCACCAAATGTTCAAATGGTCAATGGGTTTTGGCCGCTCAATTTGCTCCGCAAGGCCAGTCTTGCCAAAGGAGTCGTTGACTCGGGCTCTGGAAACTGCAGATTCCTGCGAACCACTGGAAGGCCATCCCAATGATTAGTTCATGTCACAAAATTCAAATTTGGGGCGCGTGGAAGAGAGCACAAATCAAAGCAAAGACGCACCCATTCTTTCCGTAGTGGCACCAAAATAGTTCTTACGTTGCTCCGAATGCCTGTGGTCTTATTGCCTGTTGAGTTTCGCAAAAGAATCCAAGGCTGATTGAACATGTCCGTATACGCACCCATGACCGGTTTGTGCCCTGTCAAGCCTGGTTTCCCATAAGAATGCCGGACATGAAGCTTCCAGCCCAGAATACGCAAAAGAGTCATACCAGGAATATACAGTAGGAACCCCTCCTTTTAGCTTCTGTTCAGAGGGTGAAAACCGCTCCCTTCAACTTCGACCGACCCAAACAGGGTCCGTGAGACAAAATTCAAATATATGCATCATATATCTGGGTTGTGAGAGTGTCAACAGATAAACCCATGCTTTAAGCCTTATTCACATGATTTATGGGGTAGGAAGCTCAGTGGTGTGGAGGACATCATTCAGTGTGGAATTTATGTCCACCAGCCACCTTTCAGGGAGGTTCCTACGAACATCAAGATCTCCATATAGACATTTTCCGAACAACGGGTGTAACGTGCCTCATTTCGTCGCTGGGTCAGTCTTTCTCAAGAATCGGACCTCAAACAAGTTGTGGCTTCCTCTTGGTTTCTCCTTCTCGGTCCTCCAGTAGCGAGGTTAGAATAAGGGTACCAACTTTGTTCTGTAGTACGGGTTGAAAAGAGCACTTAGCTGGGGGGCCTAGCCTTAAGACTGCCCACGAAAATAGCTTCGACCGCACCAAAAAACCAGCGAGCCAGCCGTGTCGGGCCTTCATAGCGATCACGGTCTGCAGCATGCCGGTGCCGTTCTGGGACCCGGGGCTGCTCTTCAGGGACACCATCGCCTGGCCGCAAGCTGGCTGCCGACGGGGGGTTCCCCCGGTACACGGGGGTCTCTCAAAATATATGGTCATCCACCCGGTAGTACGGCTTAACGATCATGATTCCGAGGGAACCATGACCATAGGCCAAACAGAGTTTTGACCATACCCACATGGCCGTGGTTGTCAAAACCGTTTTGGGATCCCATTTTGGTTGGTAGGTGCACCACCCATTTTAGTCGGGATTTTAGTGGGGATTGGGATGTTCACTGGGGGTACGGGCTTTTGACCCATGGCCATATGTTTTAGGGACCCCCAAACGGTATTCCTTTTGGTTTCTCTTTGAACAGGACAACAAGGTACCCTCGGAAAAGACAGACCCACTTGACTGTCTTAAACTAGAATACATGTTTATAAATATGTACATATATATGTATATATACACGGAATTTCCAAACTGATTGGTTCTCTTTTGGCTTCTCTTTAAACCAATGAAAAAAGGGAAGAATCGCAAAAGACGGGCCACCCATATAGGCTTTACTTCAAACCCTACACCGTTTGGTAGAACCATCCGAACTGGCTGCGCTGCTGACTGGATGTTCAGACATGAGGTGGATCGTTTTTTGTTTTTGTTTTTTTCTCCACGTCAACCGGGGCAACTGGGGTGGTCTACCGTAGGGATATAGCCTATTTACTAAGTAGCTTCAACATCCAAGTGGGAGCCCCAAAGGTAAGTCTACGTCCTCCAATAGAGAGGTTAGAATAAGGGTACCAACCTTTTTTCTGCAGTCTATTTTAGTAGGGGGACCCTCCCAACCCAAAAAAACATGGTAAAAGGGCACTACTCGGGAACCTAGCTATTTACTAAGTAGCGTGAGCATGGAAATCCAAAAGGCACGTCCAACAGATCCCGAGACCGCGCTTTGAGCGTTGCCCTTCTGTTCCCAAGGGGTGCCCCGTCACCGTGTCACCCGTGAAACACTGAGTGAGGCCGTGTCATTGTTGCTATAAGTATATCATGGTACTCACATACGTGTCGTTATGCCTCTCTAGATGCATGAAATCATAAGTGCAAATGCATATACGCACATTATGAAGTACCATACTCTCTATATATCTATATGTACACACCTTTTGGCGTCTACTTTATATTTAAGCACCCTCTGAAACGGAGGCTGTATCAACTGACTGTCACCAAAAGGTGCATGCGTCCTTTTCCCTCGAAAAGTTGAGAAGACGTCCAAGCTCCAATTTCGTTGCTCCCTGCAGCGCCGCCAGGAAAGGAATTCGATCCAGGGAAACACCTGGCAGAATCTGAAAAGCCCAAAGAAAAAGAAACGCGCCACTGGAGGTCGTCCGATTTCCTGACCCCCCCCTTGGAACCACTTGCAAAGGCTTGCTCAGGCGTTTTAAGCCTTGTAAAGTCCCTGTAAGGCTTGCTATACTGTAGCCTTTGAAGTTGCTAGTTCTCAAGGGAAACCACAAGGACACCACACATTGGGTGTCCCCTACTTTTCTAACACTGATGGAGACAAGGCCCAGCCGTTTCGGCGGGTGGTTCCAGTACCAGGCTCTGAGGCACTGCATCTCATGACAGCCCACGAGCGAGCGCCAATCACGCGCCTCAGTGAACTCACCCTCCTTCTTGGCGCCCAGGCCCTCCATGTTGGACTCGATCTCCTGTCAACGCACTTACACCAAAATGAGCGAACTTCAATTGAACACGTCCTTGTTGTACATGTGCACACAATAAACACATATGTGTATATAATTATATATTGTGGTACCATTCTCTCATGTAAGCAAGGATGCTAGGCCGAAATGAACAGAGTGCGCCATCTTGGTTCACCCAACTTGTGGGTTTTATTTTGGGGGAAGCTTGGCAGGTCTCAAACGGCACCCTTCTTGGGTCACCATTCTGGGGGGAACCCGCCAAACCGAATGGAAGGTGTGAAGTCGGCTGAACTGAGTGATGGAATTTGTGCAAATCCAAGGAACAATCCCAAGGAATCTTCAGCTCAACGAGCGCCAGGTTCCGACAGGAAACCGCAGGTTTCGTGGTTTGATCATCTGGCTCGGAGCATGTGGTGGTTGTCTCAGGATCAAGGGCCAATAAAAGCCGAATGTTTTGGGTTCCTTGTGGTTTCCCTGGTTCCAACTTCTCATGGCTGTGCTTTCGCCTTGTGGGACGCGGGGGAGGGATGTCTGGCCCCCTGGCCCAAGGGCTGGCGAGAGCGTTACATTCGCCAATTCATGGCCAAGCCTTGGTATTTGTTATCATCCGCAAATAATTGTCCTTGGTTTGTGACACAAACCATTTTGAGAAACCTCCCCCGCCACCCACCAGTGGACACTTGGTTCTGCTGGGACGGTTGCAATGGTTTATATCCTTGAACCAGGTAGAGCCACCTCAGCCCAAAGGAGCTAGCAAAAGGTTGACCTTTTTCAGCTTCCCCCTAGTTGGTGGTTAAGGAGGGGTTTGCCATCTACCCTGTCTACAAGAACCAAGGCTTCAAATCCAAAACCGCACCACCAATCGAAATCACCAATTAAGGGACACCTGATTGTTTGTAACCTCTAAAAACACAAACAAACAAACAAACAAACAAACAAACAAACAAACAAACAACCAAACAAACAGGTAAAACCAAGTAAGACAACTACACCAACAGCAAACATGTGTCTCCCCAAATACATAGTTCCCTTCCATGTGAGTGTCCGGGGCAACAACAAACCAGCACCCGTCACCACCACACCAATTGAAGACCAACAGGGAAACACAAAGCTTCGCCCCCCCCCCCCCCCCCTGGATTGGCAAAAAGACGGCGAAGTCCCATGCTTGCAACGGTCGGCTTTTGGGACCTATACGGGAAAGGCTGCCAAAACAGGAAAGCCAAGCATTCCATAGTTAAACTCGCGGTCGCTCCCTTTCAAAGTAGATTGCAAGAAAGATGCCTCGCCTTGACCCACAAAACAAAAGGTACACTGAAAACATATGTTCTGATTCTGCTTCATATTCAGTTTATGCTAAGACATAACATACTGTTGGAAGACACTCCATTTTCCTGTGTAGAGCAACCAAGAAAATCAAACGGAAAATGGCTGCTTACACTGACTCCTGCAAATGGGACCTGAAAACCAGACCAATCTCCTTTGGACCAGTTTTTGAGGTTCCATGCTGACCTATACTCAAAAGTTGGGAGGCCGGAAACCCAAAGGAACGCGACACTCGCCACTCCCCGCTCCCATCTGTCCCATTCGGCTCCTGGAGCTGCTCCTCCATGTTCTCCATGTCGATCTCCCCGTCCATCTCCACCACCGTCACCTCGTTGCCGAACCTGCGGAGAGATCAACGCGCGCAGGCGCGCGCAGCGAAGCGAGCGTCCAAGTAAGGACACCCACAAGGGGACGAATACGTTTTCTAGTTTTCCAGTGTCCCGCTGTTTAGAAACAGGAAGCGGACAAGGACTTCAGCCAATTTGGCTTACCCTGGGCGTATCCAGGGTTTATCCAAGAACGATTCTCTCTTTCTCTCTCTTTCTCTCTCTCTCTCTGTCTCTCTCTCTCTCTCTGAGCTTTTGGTCAAGAAACAAGTTCGCACTTTTCCTTTACCATCAAGCTGGTCTTCCCAAAAAAGCAATGTCCAGCTCGGGAAGCGCGTCTCCTTTTTGTTCTTTTCTCTCTCTCTCTGTCTCTGTTCCCGGGCTTCCGGCCAGTCGTCATCGTACATCTTCAGCGTGGCTCCTGGCCTGCGAGGCAGTGGAGAGCTTAGAATAAGGATACCAACTTTTTTCTATAGTCTATTTTAGTAGGGAAACCAGCAGAACAATCAGCATGTTGCGGGTCCCCTAAAAAAGACAAACCCATTTTACAATACATGTTGCAGATGTGTGCTTCAATGCTTCAAAACAACTGTGCAGGTGCTGGTTCTCGTGTTTGGCCAAGTCAGCAAGCGCTTTGCAACCTCCCGAGAGTTGATCCTGGGCTGCATGCCGGGTGGCTAATCACCAACCCGAGCAAACACAACTGAATACCGGCTAGCTATCTCAATTCAGGCGAAGCCCGCGCGAGGTTGTCTTGGAGGTTCCCCCGGAAATTGAAAGGGGTACTGATCGAAGGCTTCAAACGAGGTATGGACAACCCTCATGTCGCTTCGCGCCTCTTAAACCTTCACGAGGGCGAGGCTTGGTGTGTGTGTGTGGGCGTGCGTGTGCGCGCGCGCGCGCGCGCGGGCGTGCGGGCGTGCGTGCGTGGGTGGGTGGGTGGGTGGGTGGGTGTGGGTGGGTGGGTGGGTGTGTGTATGTGTATGTGTATGCGTATGTGTATGTGTATGTGTCTGTGTATTTGCTAGCCTTCGTCTTGTTCAATAACCCTGGCTCAGCACAGGGCACCCCATGTTTGCATAGGTGGCCTTTTGGAAAGATAGATGGCCTGGTAAATGGAATAACTAAACCGTACCCCGTCTAAACCAGGCCCCTCTATGTTCTAAGCAAACCGACCAAAAAGGACACCTATGCATGTGCATCTCAGCCAGAACTGGTTTGGCAATAACGGAAGCCTTGCGAGTTGGGGGCAAGACGCAGCAGGCTCTGGGGGCCGGGTTCCGCATCAAGCCGTCCCTCTCAAGCTGGTTGAAGCAGTTACACTGAACAACAAAACTAAAAACAACTTTGATGATTTGACTAACAGTTCAAACTTTTAGTTTGGCGCTAAATCTTGAGTATAAGCATAAAGTCCAGGAACTCAGATGAGGAGAAGCACAAACAACAAAAACAAACCAAAACCAAACCCAGCTAACGACATGCACCGCAACACACCAATCTACCAGACAACCATGCAACACAGAAACACTCACAAACAACACACACACACAAACACCAACGGACAAACCCACATTTGAAGACACCAACAAAAATCGGAACACAAAACACACCAAAACAAAACTCAGACTAAACCAAAGACGGAATTCTCCATTTGCTCAAGTCTCCCCGAAAAGAAGAACAAAAAAGAGGAGAAACTACGTTCAGCAGCAGTGAATTCCATTCCTCTTCAAACCAACAGGGGAACATGAAAAAAAAAACCTTAAGCAAAAGGAAGCACTCCTATGTTCCCTCCCCCCCCCCTTTTTCCCCCCGCCCTTCCCCGGCCCAACGACCCCAAGGACCCTCAAGGAACCCCTTGGGCGCGCGCTTGGAACCCTTGAGCTCCAGGTCCTTCTTCAACGTCACCATGGGGAAGTTGCCGCCCTCGCGGAAATGCGAAACGCGGAGAAAAAAATCCGAGGCCCAAGGTCTTGTGGCGGATTCATATGGCCGGCGGGAGGGCCTGAAAAAAACTTCTGTGTTCTTTGCTTGTGTCTTTGTTGTATGGGTGTGTCTGTCTGTGTGTTCCTGCGTGTGTTTTTGGTATACAAACAAAATCGGACCCCCCAAAGATGGCTTCTATTGGAGGGAGGGTTGCTCTGGAAAAGCCAGTGGAGCCACAGCTCTGGGCTTTCTTTGGGCTCCACAGCTCATTTCCGACGCGAGTGGTCAGAACCAGCTCATCATAGGTGTCCTTTTTGGTTGAACATAGTTTGGGTTTCCCTGGTAGCTGATTGAACCTACAAGTACACCAGGAATTGCCCTCTATTTTTTTGAAGCAAGTCAGCCAAAAAGGACACCTATGCTCCCAACGTACGTGCTGCTTTACCGCTAACATGGCAACCAAACCCCAAAAGTGGCTGAAGTCCGAAACGGAACTGAGGAAGTGAGAACAAGCTAAGAAACTGACACACTTGCAAAGAATAGTGAAGCAAAAACCGCCGGGGCGGGATTTGGCAAAATGAGCTTGGACATGCAAAATGAGGAGCTAAAACGGGACATGTTGCGACCAACTTAGACTTGAAACTGTATAGCCCCCAAAGCAGCTTCCCAACCCCAGGCCACACTCTCCAATCGCCCCCCGAATTCTTTTGAATCAGTTTGTGACAGACAATTTCAAAAGTTAACTGCTTGCTGTGGATCCCCCACCCAACAAAAAAGCCCGGAGGTAAGTTGGGGGGCTTGGCTTTGAAGAGGTCTGCTGCCGAAGAGATGCTATTGTGTCGACAGCTGTCAGGAGCATTTCCACAGCCAGGTGGATGAATCTGAAACACTGTCTTTTTGGCATGTGTCCATACACTGGTTGCCTAACAAATACAGAGGCTTGATTCGGTCCTGCCAAAGTCAAGGCATGTGAACATAGCAAGAGTTGACAAAGAGCTCAGCGTGGGTGATGCGGAAGTGAATCCTTACCGCAACCAAACCCCGCAAGTGGCTAAATCCGAAACGGAATTGAGGAAGTGAGAACAAGCTAAGAAACTGAAACACCTGCAAAGAAGAGTGAAGCAACAACCGCCGGGGTGGGATTTGGCAAAATGAGCTTGGACATGCAAAATCTCTCCTGTTTAACTTCCGGGGCTTTGAAGGCTATGCCGCCACAAGTTTGCAGTAGGGAGACCACCAAACAGCCACATTCCTCCACGATTAGAGTTAGGCCCAGTTATAGAATGTATGTTTTATTGTTTGCTTCACTTTGAGTCACTGGTGAAATGTAAAATGTATCCTAAGTCTACCCCAGCCTCCTTTACCTGGAGAAGTCCCAATGACATTTTCCAGCAAACATGGTTGCCAAACCAGAAAACCCGCAGGTCCCATCGGTATTGACTTTCCAGCTGATGCATTCTAAAACAAAAAACCCAACAACACGGATCCGATCTAATAGTGACAACTTGCTGCACAACTTGGACCACATCTGGGGACATAAGATACCATGTTCTGATTCTGCTTCATCTTTGGTCTAGTTTGAAATCCTATTACCGATTTGGTGGAAGGTCCACCAAGGCCGGCAATAAGGCCTTAGGCTTGCCAGAAGGAACACACCGCTTCACTCGGATGTCCGAAGCAACCCAGGCCGGACCTATCGCTTCGTCGCCCGAGCCTTCTTCTGGATCAGCTTCACCTGACAGGGTGGAACCATGACTAGGTCCTCCAGATTTGAGAGCTTAAAACAAAGAATGCCGCACCTCCATCTGTGGAAATCTCGCAGAGAAAATTCGGGCAGGGGGGATTTCGGAAGCGACCTAATTGCGCGTTGTTCTCAAGAACTCGAAGAACTCAAACACTCGCAAAGAACCCACCACAAAGGAACCCAAAGAACTCAACTAGGTCCTCCAGATTCGAGAGGTTAGAGTAAGGGTACCAACTTTTCTGTAGTCTATTTTAGTGGGGGAACCCTCCCAACCAAAAAAGAAAACGCCACAAGGGCACCTAGCTGGGGACCTAGATGATGGGGCGGAGAGCTTGCGGTGGAATTGGTCGAAGGCGGTAGGGAATTCATTCGGTTCATGGAGATACTTTGTGGGCGAATTTCATTGGGGCCTTTGGCGGATATCAGAAACATGGGGACTTAGGTCCGACCATTTTTCATTGGATTTGCCCCCAAATTGGGATGGGCAAGCGGTTCCAAACACACATACAACAACCTGGAAGATTGCTGCAACGCAATTCGGTGGTCCAACCTGTTACTCTTACTTTGTTCCTGCCGCCAACAAGGGAAACCCGCAAGCCTGCATGTTTGAGGAATCAAGGAGAAGTGTCAGGGTACCTTGGGTATGGATGGGAAACAGGAGGAAGCGTTGACCATAGTAGAAAATCCAACGCACGTCGCACTGCGGTTTTGAAAGAGATAACGGGAGGCAGCGTCGACCACGGCTACTACATCCCACCCCTTCAGACATCGTTGCCCTTGTACCTACAAAGGATGTAGAGGGAATGGTTCTTGATCCTAGGAGACAAACAGAAAAGGAACTGCTCAAATTGGAAAAAAATGTGTGTTTTGCGAAATCCCCATCTGTTTAGGGCGTCGCTGCGAAACATCCCCAGCATTGTTGTGCTTTTAGACATCTATATTTCGGGTGGCATTGCCAGCATTCCCCGCACCCCCGCCATGCCTAGTACTTGGCCAATGTTTTGCGTCCGAAGTGACTCACATTTTGGGCTTGGGAGAACTTACATGTGCTTAAGAATATTGAAATCGCTACGCGATCCGCTGACGCCATCTGTGGTGCGACGACTACCGCTGCCGTCTTCGGATGTCTGGCCCACAGTGAGAACTTGCTAGCGAGAAGTCTTAGATACTTTTTCCAGGAAATTTACCTCTAGTTGGATTATACTTTGGAGCCATGCTGATTCTTTGACCTTGTTGAGCTATTAAGGGCTTTTTCAGCTCATAAGGTTTCCTTATGGTTTACATTTCGTTGTTCTAGGATCAATAACCATTCACTCCACATCCTTTGTAGGTACAAGGGCAATGATGTCTGAAGGGGTGGGATGATGGTTACACTTGGATTTCCTGAGTGACATATGGTGTCCTCTTGGCTTCCTATGGTTTCCTTAGGGTTTACATTTGGTTGTCCTTTTGGTTTTCTTCATGACAACCTCCAGTCTTTGCTGGATCTCAGTCTTCGAAGGCCTTGCATTCCAAAAGCCAGCCAGATTCCGGAGAGGAAACAGAGCCAAGCCGAGAAAAACACCGCCTACCCATAGGGGCGCTTAAGTAGGCAGTCAGTAGGTTTCGGAGTTGAGGTGAAGCCTGCAAATCAGATTGTTTTCTCTCTATTTCAAAGGGCATTCTTTTGAATTTCTGAAATGGGGGCGTTTGGCTTCCTTATGGCTTTCTTATAGTTTCAATTTCGTTTCCCATGGTTGAAATGAACCAGAGCCACGCCCGAGAAAAAGACAACCTACCCATGAGGCCGCTTTGGGGTAGGCAGAGAGTCGGCCGGGTAGCAACACCGCTGAGTTGAACATGCGCTGAGTCCTGAGTGCATGAATTTTCGGACGTGGAAACTCAGCACGGGATGCTGCCGGACCTCTGGACCAGGCCGCACGGTTTTGAGGGACACATGGCTGGTCAAAAATGGGGTGAGCCCAACATAGAAGCCTGGTAAATTGAACCTAAGGACTCAAATCTGCGGTTTGTTGGTTGAATTTTGACCCACACCCAAACAAAAAAACTCCCACACCAAGCGCCTCAAGGAGAATACAAAAAAGCACTCCGCGTTTGCGGGTCGCAGGTGTCCAAGCCACATGTCATCCAACTGACAGCTGACCCGACTTAAAGAACTCAAAGAACCCAACGTGAAGGAACCCAAAGAACTCAACTGGGCCCTCTGCAGTCGAGAGGATAGAAGAGGGGTACTGTTTTTTATTGGTCTATGTTAGTGGGGGGACGGTTTGCCCAAAAAAGAAACGGTGAGAAAGAAGTTGGCACCAAATTGGCTGGGGGACCTTGTCGACACCAAATGAACTCATTCAGCGAAGCCAAGGCCGTCGGGAACCGCTCGATCGGGTCGAAAGTCCGCCTTGAGGTATGGCAGGCCCTGATCCGAAGGCTCGTAACCTGAGCTGGATGATTGGGCTCCATGCTCCATGCCTGCGAGAATTGGCTGATCGTTTTTTTTTTTTTTTAGTTTGTTTTTCCTAAGCGCTTAGATGCCCAGTGGAAATTCCATGGGACTAAAGGAATTGGCATCCGATTTTTTCTGGTTGGTTGAGTTTAAAGGGGAACCCCTCCCAAAGACGAAAAACACGGCACCACTGGGCAACTGAGTAAGGGCTCTGACCATGCAAGCTATGTCTCAAGGAGACACCACAGCTACCCTGGCATGTGGCTCTAGAGGGTTGCGACTCTCAAGATGGTTTTGCTTGTAGCATGAATCTGCAAATCTTGCAATGCTTCCAAAACCTGAAACGAGAATTGGATCCCAAAAACAAGTTGATGTACACACGGTGAGCTCGTTTACCCCAAGGTGAGCTCGCTATCGAACAGAACAAATCCCTAGCTTTGCCAGGCTTGCTCTCAAGGAGTGCCAGGCACTAACGCACACAGATCAAGCCATGAGCACCAGGGACGGCTCCCGTTTTCTGTACGGTCTTCTTTCAAGAAGCAAAGTGACAGATGCCCTTCGTTTTGGATACTCCAAAAACCCACGATTCAAGGAGCAAAGTGGTCCCGGCAAAAAATGAGGGAATCCACTCCATGTTTCGATCCTCTTCCAACAGAACCAGGGGAAGACGATCCGAATGCAAACCACCAACCCAAACCACCTGAAATCATGGACCCTAATAAGCGCTACCGGGGGGTGAATCAGCCAAGTTGATAAGCCAAGTTGAGAAGCCCTTCTAAGGGAGGTGCGCCCGCCCGCCACCCCAGTTCGCCGAAAACCCTTGAGGGTCCATGAATTTAGGGAGCCCTCTGCGAAACCGGGAAAATCCTTGTGAACGCCAAGCACGGGCCCCGGCGCAGCACCACGTCCGCGTTGGCCTGTGGAAGAATCGCGGAAAGCCCCAGCTTTCCGCCGCCCCGAACACAAATTGGTGATCGGATCGATCGGTAGGGAACGAGACATGGAACGACCCCGGAACAATCCACCTCGAGTTTCCAGGTTCGTCAACGTGAGGGAATCGCAAAACGGTGCGTTCCCAAAACCCGGGAGCAGCAAGAAAAACAAGTGCTTGATTGCCACAATGCATGCCCAAAGGGCAGAGTGGAAACCGTGTAGCACAGAAGTCATCTTAGTAGTGATTGATTCTCGTGCATATTTAGTACGTCTCCAAACATGTAAATCCAAATGAACAGGGATGTCGGAGACTCCTCAGCAAATTTGCCAAACTCCTTGCATTGGATCCCAGGCAAGAATGCAAGGATGGTTCTGGGATATCTATTTTACAGGGCAATTGAGCTAAGTCATAGCTGGTTTCCAAGGAATTGCCCCTCATAAATCTTCGCGCAGTATGTTGTACTTGCATTGTGGATGCTATGACACTTTTCACACGACTGTTGTACATAGGATTTGCCAGGCACTTGTGATGCTGGGGATGCGTAGTTACTCGCAATGCGGACAACCACGATTGTCATGAGGACAAGCGGGTGTTGGAATGGGATGATGTTTTTTTGTATATAGTTATGCTGGGGACGCCTAGTTTTCAGGCATCGCAAGAAAAGGACGTTAGGCAGTTGCAACGCTGCACTTATGATGAGGACCGGAACGCATTTGGTGTTGGATGCGTTTTTAAATGTGCATTCGGACGTGGCGTTTGGCAGTTGCAATGCTTAATTGCGATGAGGAACAGCCCTTGAATAAAAGGTTAGCTTGGTGCAGGCAAAGAGCAGCCAAAAGGAAACATAAGCCATGGTTCTGTGAGTCAATCAGGAAACGTGGCCTTGCCTATCACCAACCACGGAAGAGCGCGATGCAAAAGTTGGGTTGACGGGGGGGGGGGGGGGCTAGCCCGGCAGGCGCAGAGGACGCGAAATCCGCAGAAGGCAAACGCACCACACATAACGGTTTTTCTGGGGTTCGTAGCCAACTCACTTCTCACAAGAGCTGTCAAGCCCGCGTACTCGTGTTGAGGAACTCGGATACGCAGCTTTGGCAGGTGTGGCACTTCTCACACGCGCTTTTGTGGTCTCAGGCTGCAGATTTCTGCTCTTCGGGAGCCGCAAGAAGCCAAGAGAGGTCTGCGTGGTCTATGTTGCGTTGGGCAAAACCCCTGTAGGCGCAGCATATTCTCGAGCACACGCTCTGCGGAAAGCCTCTGGGCGTGATGCATGATGGGTCCGACCTTCTGAGAAGAGCTGGCTGTGCCTGAGCTACTTCTTCAGCAGCGCGCCCATAAAGTCAGCACCCTCCATGCGCTGGGGCTGCTGCGGCGGGCTGTTTGAGAGCGGAGCTTTAAGCTACAAACTTCATCTTCGCATACTTTCTTGCTTGCGCGCTAAACGGGCTTGTCATGTTGGCGTCTGCTGCTGCGCGCACCCCGTATGCCTGCTGGAAACAGTTCTTTTTGGCTTTGCGCAAGCTGTGCCAGGGCTGCCACCACACGACATGGCACAGGCCACATACTTGCGTTTCTGGCCAAAGATATGTCAATGGCTGTGTCTTGCAGTGCTTTGACCGAAGTCAAAGATGTCCGAACGGAACTACCCTCCCCGCCTGCCAGAAGTCAGCGCAATAACGTAACCAGCCCCCCAACCGTCCCGCCCATCGACACTGAAGTCCGGGCCAACCACCCAAAAAGTCGCTCAGGGAAATCGAGCGCTGTCCTTTCTGCTTCTCGCACTTGAACAAATATGGCCACGTATAAATATATATATATATATATACTTCCTCCCCAACCCAAGGTGTGTTGGCCAAAAACATTTGCAGCCACCCACTAGACCTGAACAACGCCAACTCTAGAGGCCCCATCGGGAAACATGCAGGACCCCTTTATGGCAAGTATGCCAGCAGCTTACATACAGCAACAGTAGAGGGGTTGGGCAAAAGCCTTGTCGGAAAATGTTTGGCATACTTCTAAAGGATTCCTAGACTGAATGGGGTCACTTATGTTAACAAGGTTATTGCCTAGAACACATGTATGGCTGTGGCTCAAAAGAGTGGTACCAAAATGGCACCATGGTACAAGCGGGCGTCGTAAGTCACCCCACGTCGCGTCAAGTCACCCCAGCCATCCCCAGCCTCTTGGAACTACGCATATCCGTTTAAGTCACTCCATGCGTTTTAAGTCCTCCCATTTTTTTCAAAACACAATGGGCACAGAACTGGACGGGCGATGTTGCCAACCCCAAGAATTCACCGCACTCTGCACGCACATGCTCAAAACTCACAGGGCGAGTGCCGCGCGAGCGCCGGGTGAGCCGCGCCCTCATCCCAATGAAGATAGCTTCCGCTGGTGGCACAACTTCAAGTGCTGCAGCACGAGAAGAGAGAACCACCCAGTGGCAGTGAACATACACGCATGCACACGGCACATGGAAGCCGACCAAATGTTGAACATCATACATTTTGCATGCGCACAGCACAGAATTATGCGATTTCAGAAAATGACATGCTTGAGACAACTATCCTTACATCCACAAACACAACGGGCACACTCACCCGGGACGACTTCGATCAACCCGGGACGACTTACAGCACTTACCCTGTAAATGGAACCAAAGACAAAAACCCGCGGTTTGCCCCAGCTAGCTCGGTTTGCGGGGTCTTTGGGTGAGTGGTTTCGGGTTGAGCGAGTCTTGGGAGGTGTCGGTTGAAGGTGTGCAAGGTCACAGGGTTTAGGATTGAGGGAGTCTGAGCACGGTTTGGCGTTGGGTTCAGGTATCAGCTGGCAGCTCTGGGATGGCTCCTGGAAGTTTCCTCTTGGAGGGACCATTTCCCGGTCAGGCGCCACGGCAACGTGGGAGGAATCAGCTTCTCCAACTGGTTTTGGATTGGTGATTTAGTGGTTCGGGAATGATTTCCCATGTACCATCTACAAGAAGCAGGGCTCAAATCTCCAAACCACTAATCCCAACCACCAACTACTTTGGGACACAGAATGACCCCCCCATCACGGTTATCCTTCCCATCGAACAGTCGTTTCACGGGGACGCCCAATAGCAACGGCCCTGCGAAGCCGCTGAGTGCTGTTGTTTTCATTCTTGTCATCTCCACTGCAGCATTACCCTGATATCAGCTAACATTGCACCATTGAAGACAAGCCCCATTACCGGAATGGCTCAGCCCTGCGCAAACAGTTTTATCTTGCTGCTCTTTGGTGGGGAAAACACACATCATCTCTCAAATAGTTAAGCTCTAAAGACCAACGAAACAGCCACGATGAGCACGGCCTGAAGCTGCTATGTTTGATCCTTCCAAAACCACAATGGGAAGCCCACAAGCCAACCCCAATCAACCCCTGCTGTTGGAACCTTCTTTGGCCTTCGGTGGGGACTTTGGGGTCATGGGTGCTTTGCAGGGTTTCTGAATAAAACATAGGACCACGAAGCAAGTTGGTGTGTCTCAAAGCGAATTCCCTTTGGATGCAAGCAGACCCAAAGGAAACACGGGAAGGCACCAGAAACATGTACCCGACACCCAACCTGCAAGCCGATGCCGACCCCAACAAGAACGAGGCCCCAGTAGTATTGTCCGCTCAAAATGCGCAAAAACACACTGATTGACCTTTGAAGGCTTAAACAAACTCCGTAGTATAAACCCCTCTCAACCCGCATGAAATCAGGTAGCAGAACCCAGGCGCTGCTCAAATCGAGCTGTCTCTCCGCGTGAGGCATCCGCGCCTTCTGCGGGTCCACGTACTTGGAGAAGTCCGGCAAGCGCTTCTCGATGTCCTCGCGCACCTGGCGAGCAAAAAGTGGAGCGAAAAAAAAGGCACCTGGTCGCTGTCCTGATAAAAGCATCTCTTTATAAACCAACCTGAAAAGGGTACCCGCAAAAAAACGCCGTGTTCACACTCAATCAAAACAAAGGGCCGGATTTTTGACATAATTTTCCCCTGTTTCCAGAGGCTGCCGCTTACCCCTCAAAAAAAGAGTCGTGGAGTATTTGGCCTTGTTTGCCACCATCGAGCCTTGTTTTGCTCCTAACCCTTGGGCATCCCTTGGGCGTGGAGGGCTTTGGGGGCAAAGCTAGTTTAACCAGCAAGCCCTCGGTCCTTGTAAAGGGAAATCCAAAGAGGTTGTTGAAAACACTCACTCTTCGCCCATGGTCAGGCCTTGGTCAGCCTCAAATCAGCCTCAGGCCATATTTGGAACCCAGGGCAACCCCCTGCCTAGCTGTCTTTCAGCAAGAAAGTGGCCCAACCGTTCGGCTCCCAATATCTCCCAATGGGTCGCGCCTGATCCTCGGTCCAGCCGCGCTCCTCCACGTCGCGCTGCACCTTCCAGGCGAACTTCACGTCGTTCCTCGGACGAAAAAAATGGCAGGCGCTGCGATCAAGCTACTCAAGTTTGTGTATGATGGTAAGCTTGGCTGTTCAAGCTATTTGGCTGTGGCTCAAAAAACCAGTACCAAAATGGAACCCTGGTAAGTGGAAACATGGACCAAAACCTGCGTAACCCCTCCTGTTTAAGTTTGAGCCACACCCATTTAGTAAAACTGAAGTTAGGGTGTGATCATGGTAAACTTGGGCGTCCCAGCTATATACTTGGTATAGCTCTGTGGCAAGGGGACGATCACCCCAGTTGCCCCCAACTCAAACAAATGCCGGGATAATTCCTTAGGTGCTTCAGGCCCAACATGGTTGATTCCCTCCTTTTGATTTTGGGTTTAGGGGTGATGTTATTGGTTAGGGTCAACAGCTTTGGGCGTAGGTTCTGGCTTAACGTCAACAGTTTAGGACATAGGAGGTTGCTTTAGGCACAGCGGTTTAAGTTTGGGTTTAGCGTCACCAATTTAAGACTTCGGTTTTGCTTGAGGCACAGCAGTTTAGGGTTTAGGGTTTAGCTTAGCATCAACAGTGTTAGGTTGTGTTTTAGGCAGAGCAGCTTATGGCTTAGGTTTGGGTTTGGCGTCAACAGCTTAGGACGTATGTTTCGTCTTAGGCACAGCTGTTTAGGTCTGAGTTGTGGGGAAAAATGCGTTGTTGAGGCGGCGAGGGCTGCGGCGAACATGTTCAAATACCGCATTCACGCGGTATTGTCATAGAATTCCAGCCCCTCCCTGCTGCCCTTGTTTCCCCAAAACAAGACGACAGTAAAGTGTTGCTTGGCGTCTGGTTGTTCAAGCCCATTTGGGAGGCGCAAACGAACGGACTCCCAAACGGTTGGCTTGCTGCTGGTGTGCCTTTGAATGCCAACTAAAAGGACCGCCATTTTTGAGAAACTGATCAGGGTAGGCGCTTTAAATGGAAATCCAAAAAAACAAAACAATAGGGAGGGCCCTTGGTTTAAGACACGTCCGTTTTTGCGACCAACCCAAGCAGCCCTCTGGGATGTGCCGATCCGATCCATCCGAGGCGCACGATGTCGATGTAGATGGCGAGGTCCAGCTGAGAACGAGCCTGATGAAACAACGAGCACACACCCCAACGATGGAGTCTCCTCACTTACCTGAGTGGTCAAAAAAAGTCTGAACACTAAACTGGCTTTCCCAAAAAGCATGACCTCCAGGAACTCGGGACCCTAAACTTGTTTGGAGGTTGGACATGTCGACTTGACGTGTAAGCACAGCTCTTCGAATCCCGGACATCAAGCCGCGGGAAAAGACACTCCTTGATCTGCGGTTGACTTTTTTCAGGACAATTCCACCAGGGACAGATCCCATGCGAACTTGTTGTCATTTGTGTGTCTGGAACACAAGAGAACAAATTTCCGTACCTAGGTCCTCCAGTAGAGAGGTTAGAATAAAAAAAACCAACTTCTTTCTGTAGTCTATTTTAGCGGGGAACCCTTCCCCAAAAAAGAAACGGTAAAAGGGCACCTAGCTGGCGGAGCTAGACAAGAGAACAAGTTTCGCGTGCAAAGATGGACTCCTTCCTCACTTCCCGAGTCTAAACTGTTTGTTTAGAAAACCTCTAGGGAAACCACTGATGAATTTGGGGCTCGACCCATTCCCTTTTCATATCTGGGTGCGCGGAATATACATCCTATCCTGTTTTGCTCCCCAACAGGCAGGTCCGCTTTGTGGGGTTCCTGGCTAGTTGCAAATCTCAGTTGCCAGAAGCTGCTTAAGGTGCAGGTGTATAGAATGGGTAAATACCACAATTCTGCGATCTGAGAAACCATGCAGGAACCCCCGCTGGTCGACTGGAAACCTGGTTGGAATGCCCCCGAAACAAAAAAAAAAAACCATCCCGATTCCGCTTTGGGAATCCCAAATCCGGTTCAGTGACACCTCTGACTCGTCATTCCTTATCGCACACAAGTGGCTTCTCCATCCAAAGCTTCCCAAGTTTCTCCAGGCTCAGAACGGTGCTTGATTACGCGAAGATGCTTGCGACCTGAGCCAAAAGCCCTCTTTGAGATGCAAACATGTGCTTTCTGGTACTCAGAATCCATTTTTGGATGGGCCCAGCCCTATTGTGGGAAACACAAGCTTCCATTTGCTTGCAGGAATATGTGCCCAATTTCCCCCTATTGGCTATAAAGAGGATGTGTTACTACTGATTTGTTGTACTCTGCCACTTTTCGTGGATGGAAACCCCCACCAACCCCAAGCCCACTAAGCCCACCAAGCCCACCAAGCCCACTAAGCTCACTAAGCCCACTAAGCCCACAGAACCCTAAACCTTTTTAGGAAACCCACTGAACCACCTAAAAGCCGGCCTTCCCGCCGCCCGCACCATGATTAGAGTTAGGCCCAGTTGTAGAATGTATATGGTTGCTTCACTTTGAGCCACTGGAAAAAAATGCAAAAGTTCCAAACAATTGTAATCGAAGTCTACCTCAGACATTAAAAAAACAAAATCGCCATGAATTAATTCCTCGCTTTCGCTTTCGCGCTGACTTCCCGCCTTCTCGTCGTAGATGGGGTGGAGGCCTTCGAACACCATCACCTTGTTGGGCTCGATGAGCTCCGGAGGGTCCTCGCGGCACGCCTTGTTTTTTTTTTGTTTTTCTCCTTTTCTTTTTTCAGCTGCGAACAGGAGACATGGCAAGGTTTTCTCCAGATTTTGAAGTTAGAAGGGTACCAACTTTTTTCAGGACGTCGATTTTAGGGGAACCCTCCCCTCAAAAACGTTGGTAAAAGGGCACTACTGGGGGACCTGATGGCTAACCTTTGACGTGGGGAGTTGAGTCCCCCAACCATTTTTTGAAAGGAGGCCACAAATGGGAACAGGACACATGGCGAACTGGCAACCAGTTGCAACCAAAAACCTTGGCACAACAAATAATAATACTCTTTTTGAAGCCACCATTCTTTGTCCGCCCCGAACCCAACAAGAAGGGAGGAAGATGAAATCCACTGCACTTCGTGCACATCCAGTGAAAATTGCCGCTTTGATACCAGTATTGTGCGGCTAGTGAAACAAGGTTGACTGTTTGCTTGGTTAACAGGAAACTACATGTTCCATCAAGTTTAAAGTCTAAGAATCCAACCAAATAGCAGCCAAGACTAATGTGAAGCAATCATAATGCGACTTCATGGACACCTAGTCGAATAAACCCGTGTTTGGCTGATGTGGGGCTGCAACCCATTTTAGAGGGGGTCCTTAAGAAACAGCACAAATTGTTTGGCCCTCGACTAAAATGAGAAAGACACCTGCCAGGGTCGCCTTGGTTCCCCAAAAGACCCAACAAGAAAACTCACTCCAAAACGAGATGTTTCATAAATCACTCTTCAAGGTTAAAATAAATTGAAATCCACTCCTCCCAAGCCAGTGGTATGTCAACATGCTTTATTCTTCGCAAACGCCTCACGCGCTGACACGACCAACCAAACATCACCGCGCAAACAGGGGTGCGCCGGCTTTCTGTTGGCTCAAAAACAACCCGGAACACAAAACAAGTACCAGCTGAACAAAAAGGTACACTAGGTCCTCCAGTAGAGAGGATAGAATAAGGGTACAGTAGGGGAACCCTCCCCCAAAGAAGGGTTCAACCTGCTAGACACCGTGAACTTGATGGCAAACCCCTGCTCGAGACCATAACCGGTGCCAAAGTTGTAGAGGACATCCTCCACTCCCCCCCCAGCAATTGATCCACCAGGTCGTTTCCGCCGACATAGGCATGCTTCCCGGTAATGCAGCCGGCCCAGCTTGTGAAGCTGGCGGAATCGTCACAGATCTGACGTTCCCTTCCTTTCAGCCTCACTTCCGTGGATTGGTCAAAAGTCCAGACTTGGTGTTTACCACTAAAATGGAACAGCCGGAACCCGGAAATAACCCCCATGAAACAACCCAAAGAATTTGAAACAGCCCCAAATTCTTTTTATAAAGTCCACTCGGGAAGTGAGCTCGCTCATTTCACCCGGTTTTCTCGACCCAAACCTCCAGGACATGGAAACGAGGGCACCACGCAAGCTTCAGGAACAGGACCCCAGAGAATTTCTTGGGCGGTTTCCATTTCAACCCACAAGGCGATGCCACATCTTGGTTGCTGGCGGGACCCCCCTGCAAAAACTTTAACTTTTTGGGAACACCCCATGATTTCAACCAAAAAGTTAAAGTCTAAAGATCCAACCCAACAGCAGTCATCACATGAGCAGCCCAGGTAATATCACAATGGGAAGTGAAGCGCAAAGGTAGTATCACAATGAGCCTATGCACCGAACAAAACGGAACAATACCACGATTCTCGTAGAAATGGGAGACACTATGAGCCCGTTGGAAAGGGAGCAATAACAAAAACAAAGGCCTCGTAGAAATTGTCCATTGCGCTCATTTTTTTTTGCAAGCTGCTTGGCGCGAACGACCCTCCCCCCCGGCGCTGGCGAGCCCCGAACTCGGGGGTTTGCCTCTCCCCCGCGCTCCGAGGTCCTTGTTGCCGGTGTCGTGGTTGTAGATGGGCTTGTACACGGCCTTGCCTCGTCAGCGCAAAAGGAAGACACAAACAAATCTGCCTGAGCTTGCGGCTTGTGCAAAGCAAAGAAGACACAAACAAATCGAAAAAAAGAAAAAAACACTTGTCATCAACTTCATGTGTTCAAACAAAATCTCCTAGCACCCACGTTGCTAGTTGGCCAACATGGTCTTCCCAAAAACATATACAGATCAACTTGGGAAGCGAGGCAAGGCAACGCATCAGGCATTGGACGCCTCTCTGCTGATATTTGCAGCCACCTTTCTACTCAGGTGGGTCTTAGCTTCCATTTGCTTAAGCCCCGGCTTAGAAGAAAAATGTGAAAATATGTCCAATGGTCATAGATTCCCTTTAAAGCCAACAAGGGCCAATAAACAATACTCTTAAGCAAATGGAAGTCAATTTCAACGAGGGACCCGACATGGTGAAGGGTTCCACTCTTTGACGACCACGAGATAGAATTAAACCCAGGGGTGGTCCACCTATCTTATTGAAAAAGTCAAAAAGTGGACACCCTGACATTGTGGAAAACACTCCCTGGAGATTCAAGTCCAACATTAAGAGGGGTCCATCTATGTCCATTTCAGCTAGGGTCCCATTCCTAGCGTAACGCACATGTTTTTGTTTTTGTGGGGCAAGGGAATGACACTTACCAGGTCAAGCCAAAACTCCAATCTGATTGAAACCTATTTTGTGGAAAGCCGTTTCCAGGTCACCCCAATTTTGCTTTCCAACCATTGGTATATGGTAGCCAAAAACCGTATTTTTTGCAGCCCCCCCACTAAACATGAACAGGACCAAAACGAATAAAAAGCCTTAAACCAATGGCAACAATGAAGTTTGATACATGCCCACATGGACCAAGCCTAAAACCATGCCTTCGTCCCAGAAAGTTCGACAGATTCCTCCCACTTCGTCCGAGCCCTCCGAGTCGAGGCGATCCGAGAGAAGTCGAGGCGCCCTTCTTGAGGGCCTCGATCTGCACGCCCATCAGGTCGAAGTCGTTCTCCCGGGCGTCCAGCGCCGTGAGCCCCGTGGCCTCGGAGCAGCTCGAAGATTTTGGAGCTGCCGTGGATGTTTCTTTGCTGCGCAGGGGGGGGGGGGGAAAAAACGGAACAAAAAACGGGGGAATCCTGGTTGTGGTCGGGGAAAAGGGAGGCTTCGCAGAATAGTTTGGCTTTTCAAGGTGGAAAGTGTTCAGTGGAGTCATTGGTTGGTTCGTAGGGAAAGAAGGGAGGTTTCTCAAAAACAAAGCGAAGGTGGAAAGCATCCAGTGGATTTAAAAAAAAACCAACCAGGATGGGGTCCAACTAATTTTGAGATACACCCATCGGGGTGGGAATGAACTGGAACGCTACTTGGGTGTTCGGCTCACTTTGTACAGAAGTTGTTGGCAACCTGGGTTACCCACTCGTGGGTTCGCCGCTCGGTGGAGTTATGACCCAAATGGCCATGTGTCAAAAGCCTGTACCCCGAGTGAAAATCCCAATCCTCACAAACATGGGTGTTGCACCTACCCCAAAATGGTACCATTGGTTTTGACCCACAGCCAAATGGCTAAGGACGCCCCATGAAACAACAAGGAACGCTTAATAGGGGGAACTCGTGAGGGAACCTGTCAATCCCAAACCAAGCCTCCAGTGGATGATGGGCCATGGGCACGGTGTTTGGTGGTTATGGAAAGAAAAAAAACAGGGAGGGAAGCCAGCGCATCTTGAATCCAGGAATATTGAATCTGAAAAGTTGAAAACATGGAATGTTATACCTTTGAGTTGGTTCAATAGCTGCGACACGTGCCTCTGAGGCTGAGTATGGGGGCACCCCCAAGTAGAGGAATCCATCTTCCCCGTGTGCAACACCATATATGCCTTTAGTCATGCGTTCGCGCTCTTCCAGGGAACAGCCCTGGCTTAAAATGTTCAAAACACTTCCAAAAACTGCGGGGATGGGATACATGTTGCAATCAGTAGTTTTGCACGGGGGAGCATGAATTGACTTGCAACCATGATCATAGGATTCTATCCCTTTTTGTCGGATTTCCCTTTACGGTTCCATGCCCGGAGCAAGCTAGTCAGCAATGGTGACTTTAGAAACTCACTAGTTAGGCTATGGCTGCTTTAGGCCATGTGAGCCACCGTCAAAATTTATTGTCCCCCCCTTTGACATTGGAATTTGGCGAGCTTCGTTTTCGAAAGGAAAACTAAGGTGAGTACAGCCAAGGAACCAGTTGCCTTTACAGACGGCGTTGCTTTTACTCGGTGTGCCCATATTGGCGTGTGTGTGTGTGTGTTGCCTTGAGGGTACCCTTTCGGGGCTTGTGTAAAGGGCTATCAAAGGAAAGCCACACTGTTTTGGGTCCCGCCGTCCATATTGACACATACCGATCTCAGATGCCCAGTGGATTTCCATGGGGAAAAAAGAGGGCATCCTTTTTTGGTTGGTTGACTTCTAAGGGGAACCGTTCCCCAACACAAGTTGAGCAAAAAGGGGCGCCTCTGGGCAACCAGGGCCCTATTAGTCGATACTTCCGCCTCGCCTTTCTTCCGGCGCGGTCGTTGGTGTGGTAGTCATCCAGGCAGATCACGGTCATCATGTCCCCAATGGCCGTGTGCCTCAGGTGCCATTTTGGTTCCTTCGCATAGTTTGGGGCATACCGAAAGGTCATACTTCCAGATTATGCTACATGGGGAACCTCCTTTTGGTCACGTGCCAATTTTTGTTGCAGGCCTTGACATAGCCCACATCTGGGGTACACAGATTTTCACAACTTCCTGATTCTGCCACGTATATCATATCTGTGTGTGCCTTTTCTGGGGGGGGATCCTCCTTTTGGTCGGCTTTCAAGGGTTCCATGTTCCATTTCTCCTTTTGAGACTATAACTCATTTAGTCAACCCCTTTCACAAATAGCTTTGTAGTTCGCAGTTCAGGGGGCTTGGGCTTCAAGCACAAAGCTGGAAGCCCATATTCTTTACTCTCTTGAGTCGATTTGGCTCAAGAACGTCTCAAAAGACTTTGTAGCCACTCAAATGGTCTAACAACAAAAAGTGACTCAAGTCCAGGAACTCCTCTTGGGAGCCCTAAACCAAACACAGATTTCACACACACACACAGTTTCCCCGTTTCACCAATGTGTTTGTTGCCCGTGGGTGCATGGGCAAACTGCTGTCCATATTTGGTTGGCGAACTTCGTGGGAGTTTCCTGGAAGTGTCCCCATAAGTTGAAGAAATATCTGAAACCGACATTCACACACTCTTCAGGGGAACCCCATAGAGACCATCGCCTCCCCCCAACACAACCCCCTTAAAGACTAAGCTAGACTATTTTGTGGAGGTGTGTTTATGGGGGGTGGTGTGTTTGGGAGGTAGCTCTGGGCAGAAACCAAATCCATAGCTTTTGTCTCAGGGCATCCAAAACAATTTTGGCGGCCACGGTGGCCTTTGGCTGTCCATTACAAAAAGCACAACAGAAAAGAACAGATTCTGAACTTCACAAAACTTGGTATGGGTTCTAACAAAAACCGACTGTTTCTTGCAGCCCCCTACTAAAAATGAACAGGGTACCAAAAAAAACAGACCAAGAAGAGAAGTAAAGAAAAGAAAGCCAAGAAAAGAAAAGACCAGACCATGAACTGTTTGCCAAGAAAAGCGAAGAAGGAACAAAAACCAGGGAGAAAGCTCGCTCCAAGCTGCCCGGGCTGCACCTCGGTACCCAGCGCGCCCAGGATGCGGCGCAGGAAGGTGGACCTCAGCCAGACGCCAGTCGCTTTCAGTGGCCCGTATGGGTATGGGTCGACCGCAGGTTTTAGTCCATGTGTCCATTCACCAGGGCAAGCCATTTTGGGTGCCTGGGTCAAAGCTAAAGGTGACCGCAGGTCATGTTTTGGAGGTGTGTTTGGGAAGGGGGGGAGTCTTAGCCTTGGACGGTGTCAACTTCGGCCAGTCCCTGACCGCATCCCTTCGAATCCTTGCGATCGGATTGGGTGCTCCAAGATTCGTACTTTCGGATTCTGTTCTTTATGAGTCGACTTTGAAACTGACTTACCACTTGGTAACCTAGAAATACCAAGGTTAACCTTTTGGGACAACAGGAAAACTTTGAAAGGTCAAAAGGTTGATTTGCTTTGGGCAACTGAGAAAAGCACCACTTGAACGAAGGATTGCTCAACAAGCACTGCATCACCGGCGAGCTGGTTTTCCCTTTACGACCCGGGTTTCCACACCAACCCTACAAATCTCATGGATATGGTTTCACAAGGTAGGTTTGGAGCAAACCCCAAAAACGGTCCACGCTTAGCCCCCTGCTTTCCACAGCCGGAGTCAGCGGCCACGCCAACGATCACCGGCGTGTCCTGGACAGGACAGTGACCTGGACCCGGCAAAGAGCAACAAATCTATGTTATTCTTTTTGGGGAAACGATCGGACAACAAAAACGAGACGTCTCACCAATCTACTCAGGAAGTGGTTGCCTGAGCCATTCTTTCCAACCAATGTTCCTGTCAAGAACCAGGCCTTTTCCCAAGTGATTTGGTGGAAAATGTGTGTGTGTGTGTGTGTGTGTGTGCTTGTTCAGGTATCGGGCAAGTTACCACCACGAAACAGCACGAGGTTGTTCTACATTCTACCAGCTTACCCTGACAGGGTGGTTTGGGTTGAATCCTAGGGGAGTCTTTTTTCCCCCCAAAAGGTACTTGCCCAAACCCTAAGCTTCCGACCCAGCAGGAAACCCAGAACCCCAAACTTGTCACAGGGGACCCTGGTAGTGTGACTTGTGCAACTTCAAGACATCAAACCTTAAAATCACAAAAGAAGTGCACTACCACAGTCTCCCAGTCTCAAACTTTTTGCTGAACAAACCAGTAGAAGCAACCCGACTTGCAAGGGCTTAGAGTGTTATAGGGGGATTAACGTTCAACTCTCCAAAGGCCCACACAGCGGAGCCTTCCAAAATCAGCTTCAACAAATTATGCCCTTTTTCTCCATGGCCACTGGAAAAGGCTGTGAAGGGTAAATATGTACACTACCAGCTCCTTCGCTAGTGTGGTGTCGGTGCTTGAGTAGTTTGCAGCTTGAACTTGAAATTAGGTTTTTTGGAGATGTGCGAGAAAGCCAACCAGGACCATTTTTTCTGCAGTTGTGTGGCTTCTCCGTTCTCAACCTCTCACCAGCCGCCACTTGTTTGTTGAAATGGAGGTTACGCGGTGGCTTTTCCCGTTTACCCTGTACAAGATCTCGGGGTTCAAACCAGCAATCCAACTACCAATAATCAGGGGCAGAATGCCTTCATTTTCACGATGTCCCTCAGAAAAAGGTGCCTGATTCACAAAGTATTGGCTCGATTAAAAAGTATAATAAAATCGCCAAGCGCCTGGATCGAAGCGAAGCGCGCAGCGAGTTCAACGTGTCCCGGTCCTCAAGCTTGGCCTTGGAGTCGAGGATCGGCTCCATGTCATCCTTCCAGGCGTGGGTGGGATACAGCTTGATGCCATCCACCTGGACGAAGTGATCCCAAAGACCCATGCTTCGTCTGCTTGGAGGGTTTAGGGTTTGACCCCGCATTCATTAAACCCCTGTTTATCAATACGGGGGTGTTCCCCTCCAAAAGTGATAAGTCCCCACTAAAACCGTACTTCCTCTAGGTGCTGGGCTAACTTAGCTGGACATTTTTTTGGGGAGCCCTGTCTTGATGTTTGTTCATGTTCGGTGGTGTTCAAAGAGGGAAGACCATGAGGTGTCCTTTCTTGTTTGTTGTTTCCAAACGTAAACCAGAATCACCAATTCCACCTACTTGGGTGTTGGGCAAACTTAGCAAGTTGTTGGTGACCTGGGCTGTAACTCACTTACAAGTTCTCCTAAGTGGAGCTAACCCTGTCATTGCTGCGTTATAACCCAGCTGGCTAACCACTTACTAACTTGGCCGAACATCCTAGTACCAGCTCCACGTTTCTCAACAGAATCCTTTTGCCACGTGAAAAGGGTTGCTCTTTGCTTCCTGCTCAGGCCAAGAGTTCCTTAGCCAACAGCTAACCTACCGTTGCGCCCTGTCAGCGGTCCAAGGAAGGGGTCTGGAGGCACCAACGCCCAAGGACAACCTAACCCGCTCTACGACAAGCAGACCCTCTGGTTGGTTCTGTGTTGTTCCTTGCTCGCCTTTTGGGCCAACGCCATCAAGCCACACCGCGCATGCTTGCGGTGAGTCCAGGCCCAAAGCAATGCTTCATGGAAAGGATACCGCTGAGGGCAAAAACCCAGGGAGATGGGCTCGTCGAAGCGAACGGGTGGCCCTCCACCGACCCAGGCTACCGCCCGTCTGCTCGCACAACGGCGGAGGCGTGCCGAGCTCAAGCCTACCCAGGATCCAAGCACTGCGAGGCTGGAGACCTGACACATCCCTGAGACCTCCCTGAAGTTTTTGTGTCAGGTCTCCACAGCTGGGGCATCCACAAGTTGGGTATCCCCTGTTGAATCCTAGGGATACAAGCTTGGGGTTCAACAGTTGGGTGTTTTGTGATAAATCGCTTGTCCACTTACATGGAACCAAACAGCTCCTTTTGAAGAAAAACAAGTCCAGGATCCCTCAGTCGGGGGTACACAGAAAATCTGCGCCTCGCTTCTCTCGCTTCCTCTTTAGCCTACCCTAGGGCCCTCAATTCCTGAGAGGACGGGCCAAACCAAGTCCAAATCTTGTTTCATTTGCCACCAAACAGGCAACCAAAAGATACCAAAACAAGCTGGAACAGTCTGCCACTGGAAGCACCAAGGGCTTGACACCATCGGCGGCCCTTCAGAGCCATTTCTTTTAAAGTCCAGGAACTCAAGGAGTGAGGAAATGGGCATGATTCAAAACTTGAAAGTGGTTGGTGTCCTTGTTGGTTTCCCTTTCACCCCAACCCAAAAAGAGGACCAACTCCAACAAATGACTCCAACAAACCACTCCAACAAATCACGTCCATTTGCTTAACCCCCCCGGCAACCCTTGGCAAACATAAACATATGTCCAGTAGTGATAGATTCCAACTTTAAAACCAACAAGGGAACATAAAGAAATATCTCAGAAAATGGAAGCAACCTTAACCTGGCTGAGTGGATGGCCCAAACAAAGTCACCTTTTTATATTTACCACCAAAACTAAGTTTCATGAACAAAGCGGAAGTGAGTGATTGTGGCTCAATTTGACACTCAAATTTTTAGTTCAGGAGTCCCGAGAGAGGCCAAGCGACCCAAGCGCCCCAAACCGCCTCTCGCAGCTTCTCCTCGGCCTCCGGGGATGGCCACACCAGGCCCGTGGGCACGCTCTCGCCGCCTAAGGGAACCGGCGATGGACCAACAGACGCCGCCGGAGCCGGTCATTTGGCGGGGCAAAATCCAAAATTCCGTACCCCCAGTGAACATCCGATTCAATCCAAATAGTAAAAAGGAAGCCTAAAATGGGTGGTGAATTCACCAATCCCAACTAACATGGGATCCCAAAACGGTTTGACCCACAGCCATTTCGCACCGAAATGAGACCTTATCTTGGTGAAGCTTGGGACTCAAACGCGTATTGCTATTGTTTTCTTGAGGCCTGATTATGTCTCAGGGTCTTATGTGGAGGGAACTATGTATGGGAATTCACACACACACAAAGGCACTCATGCAGTTGCACCTTTGGGATCCGGAAATACAAGGTTCAGCTTTTGTGGCCGTGTCTTTTGGTAGGGAACCGGAGCCCCAAAGGTGGGCTTTCCTCTTGGTTTCCCCACCTGAAGTTTGTGGTCAAAAAGGGCCAAATCGGTCGACCTGACATACCGAGAATTTGCATCATGATTCAAGCTGCATGCCAATAATCATTCAATCAGTATGAACATCAAATGGAGAACAAGCAAAAGCAGAAAAAAGAGTCAGCACTCTTTCTTCCACGGACGGCACAGATCCATTGTCGTCCATTGTGTTCCAAAATTTCATATCACAAGAAGCTTGAGAAAGCTGATGGATTGACTGTAACGAAGCGTGTCGCCGAGCACCCAATCCGGATACATCGGGCTGTACCAAACTCTGCCTGTGAGTTCCGATCCAGATACCTCTGGCTCTGTACAAAAGACATTTCTTGAATTCCCATTTCCTGCGAGCAGAGCAGCTCAGATACGAGACGAAAGAGACGATGCCGGAGATGCATGCTCAGGGATGGGTGAAAGCACTGAACGCAGGTGCGTCTGTGTTGGCACCCTAGTTGGGAGTTCCTCAGCTTTCTCTTCAGTGCCTGGCAGGCTTAGGCCGTGCGGTTTGCCGTTCAAACATGTTGAATCCGCAATTGTTGAACTCGCTTCATGAGTAAATTGGCAAAAAAACAAAACGCTGTTCGTTTACTACTTAAATGGTCTTGCCAAAAAGTAAGTTTTTTTACAAAACAAATGCGGGAAGTGAGCTATAGAACCTCCTTCTGGTTTCCTTTGCGAATTTTGTCCACCGCCTGGATCACTCCAAAAGGTGCAGCAAGCAAAGACCACCAGGAAGATGGCAATGACCTGCGGAGTTTTGCCCTAAAAAGTCTAACTTAGTTCCAAAAGCTTTTTGCCGAACTTGAAATTTTCTGAAAGAAAAATATGATGTGCGACACACACCGGACACCGAGGATGTTGTGTTTCCCGCGAAAAACAACAACTGCAGGTGGAAAAAATAAAAGACACACACCAGAATCCGATCATTGATCCGCCAAAAACAAGCTGCAGGGGGGAAGGGAAAAACAACCAAAAAAAACGTGGGAGGAAAAAAAGAAGAAGAAGAAGAAGCGCTGCTGGACGCATTTCGCCGCAAGTTCCGAGGGGCGTAGGTGCCCAGTTGGAAGTTGTGGGGCAGCAGCCAGGTGCCGAGCAGCGGGCCCACGGCCTCGCCCAGGGCGGCCGCGGCGTTGAAGACGGAGCTCACCGCAGGGCTCACCGCGTGGCGGGCCGCCTCCAAGTCAGCGCCGGACTTGGTGCTGAGGTGCTTGGAAGCGGCGGCGTCCAACCTTGCACGGGTTTTGAGGGGTTTGGGTGGGTTTGGAGGGGGGTTGGGGGGGGGGTTGGAGGGGTTTGGGCGGGGTTTGGGGGAGGGGGGGTGTAAGGGTTTGAAGGGTTTGGAGGTTTGTGGGCTTGGGGTTTTGGGCGGGCGGGGGGGGGGGGGGTTTGGAGGCGGGGGGGGGGGGTTGAGTGTGTTTGAAGGGGCTGGGAGTTTGAAGGGTTTGTTTTGGGGGGTTGGAAGGGTGGGGAGGGGGAGTTTGGGGGGGGGGGGGGTTTAGAAAAACTAAGGTTAGGATTCAAGCGGGGTTGGGAGTTGGGGGGTTGGCTCAGTTGGCGGACAAAGTGTTCAACTGCGTCTTGGCTGAGTTCAGGGTTAAAGGTTCGACACACATGGTTGTTGCCCTCGCCGGCAAATAAACACAGTAAAGCACTTGTTACACTTGGCTTCCGGAAATACAAAACACTGTGTAGCGGGAAAACAAAGTGTAGTAAGCGGAAAAACTCTGAGCAGGCTAGTCACATTTTATTCGTGAGTGGGAAAACAACAACACGTAGTCAATCAGATAGTATAAATCTAGAACCCTGCAAATAGCAGCCAAGCAACATGCTTGGCAACACGGGGGTCCAGCACAGCCCCCAGCCGCAACCGATGAGCAGAAGACCTGCAATCCTTGGAAGCCCAGTGGATTTCCATCGGGGAAAAAGGGACCAATTTCGCTGAGAAGTTTCAAATGGAAACCCTCCCAACAACAAAAAGCAATCCTTTGAACGAGAACCCTCCTGAGGACCTGCCAACCAAAAAACCACAAGAAGGGCACCAATGGGCATCTGGGACTCTGAGAAGCCCAAGCACTCAGAAACCCCCAGCTGCCCAGAGAAAAGCAGCCCAAGCCGTAGATCATCAAGCCGCCAGCCATGAGCAATTTCGCCTGGCGGACATCTGGAGACACTTGCTGGCGGGACAGGGGACCCTGCAAAAAGTGCGAATCACTTTTTGCGGGTTGAGTGGAAAACCCCCTGCTTTCCCAAAACAATAAAGTCTAGAGATCCAACCCAATAGCAGTCAAGGAAAGAAACACCTGCTTCAAGCAAATGTCGACTCCTTCCTGCAGCATACCTGGGCTGCCCTCAGATCCCCCGCTAAAAGTTTGACACTTTTAGTGGGTTAAATGGAAACTACCACTAAACACTAAAAAGCTCAAAGGCTAAGGAACCGGATGGCTGGGAGCCACCAAGATACGTGACTCAACTCTTGAAATACCCTTGCAGCAATGGTGGTTGAACACAGCTGGCCCAAACAAGCCCTGGCACCTCTGTCTAAAATCGTCCGCTTAAGGATGTGTGTCAAACATCTGGCTGGATCCCCATACCTCAAGGGGGAGGGGGGCGGGGGTTCCCCAGTTTATCTCCAGGCGTGCATGGAAGAAGGCGGCTCATTTGCTCGTCCTGTGATGGTTCCTCATGAGTGGCTTTTTGTTTTTTGGGACCCCCCCGCAAAACTTGGCTTCGGTGTTCTTGATGTCCCTCTAAAACCACCACAAACAACGGGGGTACAAACCCACACGAAAACCTCCTCCTCGCCTTGAAGCGTCTCAACAAGTTAGGCACCACCATGGCGGCAAAGGTGCTGGGAATCGCCGACAGCGACATCAAGAAGCCTGGGATCGGTTTGAAGGGAAGAACCCAATGCGTCCCAACCTTGGAGGGTGGCCAATCCTGGAGGGTGGCTAATACATTGAAAACACACAAAGAGGACACAATCAACTGTCGTAAAAGCGGGGAAACTCATGTACAGAAAGAAACCACTATAGGGGGACCAAATCAACTGTCGTAAAACAGGGGATACTCATGTGTATAGAAAGAAACCACTATAAGGGGACAAGACTAGCTGTCGTAAACCGGGGAAACTTGTGTAGAAAGAAACCACTTTTTGGGGGACCCAATCAAGTTTCACAAAAAAATGGGACACTTTTTTTCAGAAAGAAACCATGATAAGGGGGCCAAATCAACTTTAGCAAAAAGCCGGAACAAGGAAGTTACAGCCCAGGACACCGATCAAGGTGTGGTCAATCTCCCCCAACACTCCGACGAAATGATGCGCCAGCAGCGGCTCGAAGCCGCCCCAAACCCCGAGGCACCTAGGCTTGAATTAGGACCCCAGCAAAAAATGAGATCTTTTTTGCCTGGGAAATGGGGAAAACCAAAGGCACCCCAAAAAGCAAAAAAACAGAAAGGGGAGCTAATTCTGGGGACGAAATGGGGGGGGGGGTGATCATTTTTCCCGGCCCCCGAACGACCGGAAAAAAAAAGGGGAGCTGAGCTAATTCTGGGGAAGGCACAAGGTGGGAATCCCCGCCAGCAGCAGCAGTCGTGCGCTGGCCACGGAGCAAATGGTGACACCGTCCGAGGCTTCCACGCCACTTGGCACCGGGACCACCGGACCGGCCGGACCGGCCGCCTCTGGTGCGGGCGCCTCTGGGTCGGAGTCCTTTGGAGTCTTGCAAAGCAAGGAACTCAAAGAGATGCCCACCTCAGTTGGTCAGAGACCAGCAAACCGCAGGTCGACAGGCGTTGTCTCCAAGCGACAGGTGGTTAAAATCTTGGGGTTACCCTTCCTCCAACACGGCACCTGGGAGGTACCTGGAAGATCAATTCTTCCTTTTGAAGGGACCCACCTCAGTTGTCAGGGATCCGGATGCATGAAAAACACCTGAACCTTGCAACTTGTCAATGGTGGCTTCCCTTTATTTGGGTGGACAAAGCAACAGGTTTGAAATGGTTGCAAAATGTATCTTTTAAGGAGCCCTGTTCAGTGACCCTGGAAAAAAAGGGAACCCTGTTTGGAGAAGACCATGTTTAGTGGGGCAGCAACCAACAAAAAAGGGAAAAAGGGTGCCACTGAACAACTGAGCCACAAAGAGCAGGTGCAGACCGGCGCTGCTGATGAAGGGCAAGGAGAAGCCGCCATACTGGAAAAGAATTCCGCCCAGCAAGGGGCCAACTGTGACCCCAACGTTGCCGCAGACTTCCTGCGACATGGTTGTGAGAAATGGGGTTGATCAACAATTTATTTACATGCGATGACCATTGGTTGGAAAATCACTAAAAGGATTATACTTTCCACTTAACGGGTAAAAATACCACAGGAAGATTGATCAAGCCGCAAGTACCCCTTTCTGTGATATCGTCGCGTGGCATTTCCATCCCCGTGATTCAGCACTTTAAAGGGTTTGGTGGTGGCGCTTAAGAAGGCAAATCTGGGGGATACGAAATGTGGGAAGCGGGGATGAGAACAAATCTTGGATGAAGCAGGATATTAAAGCGTGGGGTTCGACAGCAACCCATACCAAAAAATAAGCGCCGCATCCCTGCAAGTTGCTTCTTCAGAAGAAACCCATTTTCCACCACCAATGGCGGGCACTTAACAGGAAACCAACACGAAATTGTTTGCCATACTTTGGCCCTCCCCTTTTTGCACCCAATATGAGCCAGTCTCAAAAACGGATATGTTGATCTTCCCTATCCGAAAAGGGGATCCCTCGCACCGGGTAGGATGCCAAAGACCCTACCGAGATAAACCACCCGGGTCAAAGTGGTATCTCTCCATCCACGGTATGTTGAGAAACTAACCACGGTGATGGTTTAACCGCCCAAAAATGGATATCCCAAGATGGATGCCTCCTTTTGGGGGCCAGTCCC